AACCTAGAGAGGATTGTGTAACTGAAGGACAAAGGCTATTATGTTTCAGAGGGTCCCACCTGAGGCAATCAAGGACTTAAATGTTAAAATCAAAGTCTTTATATAAAAGCTCAGACCTAAATCAAGGTAAGGGTAACTTCCCCATCCTTAGCGCAGGAGCACAGTTAAAAAGGCCACCTGACCTAAACCCACAGTGTGACTCCTTTAGTGGGTAGGGTGATTCAGTCATATCACTCTGCATGTTGACCATTTTCAGTCTAATCCTCACCAAAAAAAATTCTATTCATAGATAATTTCATCAAAAAAGTTTATTGATATAAAAGGAACTGCTGTCACCTAACTACCAAAACTTTCAAAAATTACTAAATTGTAATTTAAATACAAATCAAATTCATTTAAGAGCTTGATCATCCTTGAATAAACTGACATTTAGTTATAACAAGCTTATAGAGTCAAGACTAAAAAAGACAAAGGAAGGTCAAATTTATTTACACAGATGTTCATCAAGGGTTATTTATATATGTCTTATAATGGCAAAAGTTACAAATCACCAAATATCAAATAAGAGACTAATTCAATATATTATGGCACATTGATATGCGGTAAAAACAACACTCATTTAATATATAATCACATAAAAATGCCCAAAATATAAATACGTTTAGAGAATGTGTGCTTATGGTTGGCCTTCCTTCACTCTTCACTCCTTTTTTTTTGTTTGTTTTTGTTTTTGCCTTCCTTCACTCTTACCCTCCAAATATATTTAAACCTTTTTAAATGACAAGAACAAAGTTACTTTCCCAGTTATTCTACTTTAATCCCTAATCTCCCATCCTCTTCCTCCTCCACTACAATAAGCTTAAAATGGAGGATTTTATCATTGTCCCTAACACTTACTTCTGCACTACCAACCATGCAATCTTCCCTGACTCTCCCAATCACTCATTTAATCAGTATTTAAGAATTATTATGAGCCAGGTTCTGTACTAGGTAAAACTATTCAGAATCAATAGCAGTATAAATATGAGTTATTGGATCAGCTCTCAAAGAGCCTGCAGTCTAGGCACATATACTTATAAATGCAATAAAGAGAGACATGATAACAGAGGAACACGCAAAATTGTTTGACAGAAGGCAGGGAGGGCTGCACAGCAGATATAAATTGAAACAGCACTTGATGGGCAGAAAGGTTGGTAAGAAGGACATTCCTACAAAAAAGTAGCGAGGCTTAAAATAGAACAATAGCCTGTTCCGAGAGCAGCTGGCAGCTGCACAGGGCCAGAGCACACAATACAAAGGAATGTGATAAGAGATGAAGCTAGGAAGACAGGGCCTAAAAAAGCAAACTAAGAGGTCCGGATTTGAGCCTGCGTGAGAAGTCAGTCCTCCTCTTTCAAATAAGGGCTGCCCCAGACAGCTACAGAAATACGCTCTCACACAGGAATTCTCAACTTTTCATGCCATGGACTTTTCTGGAAGACTGCTAAAGCCTATTGATTTGTTCTTAAGATGTTTTATACACATAAAATACATAGGATTCCAAATAATGTTTATAGACATTCCACTGTAAAGGCAGGGAAACGTAAGTGTGGGCTATGCATAATGACTTTCTTCTGTGGATACAGTAAGGAGGGTCAGGGAGTAACCTTACAATGTAGAAACCTGACAGACATTACAGCTCAGCCAGGTGATCAAGGTTTAACAATAAGAGTGGTAAATCATGTTGACAGCATGGACACTGGATTTGTGATGAAAATGGCATTTTACCTCTATGGGCTTCCTCTCAAAAACACATTAACCAGTCTCACCATGAGACAAGCAGCACACAGATTCCAGCTGGGGAACATTCTACAGAATATCTGCCCGGCTCTCTTCAGAATGTTTGGGGTAATCAAAAAAGGAAAGTCTGAGAAACTGTCACCACTAAATGTAATCTGGTATCCTGGATAGGATGCTGGAAAGGGAAAAGACACTACAGAAAACTGAGGAAATCTGAATAAAGTAGGGGTATTGGCTAAAATAATCTGTCTTGGTGCAACTCTCATGACAAAGGTGCCATACTAATACAGAACATTAACAACAGGGGAAATGGTGTGTGAGGTACACAGAAACCCTCTGTACTATATTTGCATTAATTCTGTAAATTTAGAATTGTTCTAAAAAGTTAAATGCCCCCTGAAGAAGGGGAGGAGGTTAGGAAGCCGTACCTTGTCATGCACCATCAATATAGTTCACTGTACCCAGCTTGGAAAAAAAAAAAAAAGCATAGCACTAGAAAGAAAATGAATTATCCTAAAATAATTCTTTTTAAAAAACAAATCTGTGATGTAATACTTGAGCTTCTTTAATACATTAAATTACAATATTTACAGGCAGGTCTAATTATGGTAATTTTAAAGTAGTGAGGAATATAAACAGTATTTAAAGCTTTGAAATTTTCTGAGATTGCTATCATGACATCAAGTGTATTAACATTTCTGCAGTTTGTGGTCTATAGTCAAAACTTAAGAAGGGCTACATCTCATGTAGAGTTTAGTAAAAAATAAACATGTAATCTTTCCTATCCAAGTTAAAGACCATTGAACTCTATCCACGGACTGTAGGTTAATTAAGGATCATCTTCTAAAGAAAAAGAGAAAGTAAGTACTAACACTAAATGGACACTGTGTTGCAGAATCTCTGTCACTACACATACTTCATCTCATTAAACCCTCACCACAAACCCATTCCACAGACACGGCAGCAAAGGGAAGCTGCATATGGTCATGTGACCACAAGTGGATTCGAATTATATAGTGTGACTCCAAATTAATACTCTGACAGAGGCCCTCCAAAAACAGTTTCCAGCCCCTCGTTGTGGAATTTTTGAAGAATACTCTACTGATTATACTGTAGCTCACCAATGCTCCTATTTATTAAACAACTTTCTGTTTAGGCTGCATCAGGCTAAAACTAAAATGTAACACTTCCTAGAGCTCCCTTTGGACTAATAATAATTAGGAGCAGCAGCTAACCAAAAGGAAATGGGTAAATAGAAACCTCCCACTTTTGTACAAATCTGAAAAGTAAATTTCTGCGTCTATTCACCAACTCTGACACACACCGTTAACATCCTTCTAAGGTGGGTGTGTATGCATGTGAGTCACACCTATGTATGCTTCTAAAGCAAATTCAGCAACATGTGAGATATTCATGGCATATTTTATTCAGTCCATGGCAGTTCTTTCGTTTATCCAAGTAGATATTACTAGTATTACTAATTCTCTTTCCAGAACTAAAGGTGCTTATACTATAGTGAGCTATCCCCTAAGCGTCATTTTCAAATGAATGTATATCTGGCAGGCAAACTTAAAGCAGACTCAAACATGCCACTGTCAATGAATTGTAACTCAACATCTGGATTGGAATCCTCGGTCTCTCAGCAGATATGTCATATTTGACAAATAACTGTAAACCACTTTATGCTTGTATTTTGAGCCTAGGTTTTGTATTTCTTATTATGAAAAGATTGAAAGAAAAAAATGCTTATAGAGCACTGAGCAAATGTCAAACATTATTCACGCAATATTTTTAACATTGGGTTTTACTTTTAAGTTGTAAATTTTCCCTTAGCAATGTTCACAGGAGATATTTGCAGAAATATTTTTCTATTAGTTTTAGTTGATTCTCTAAATAATGAGAGATTTTGCTCTAGAGAATGATTTTATCTTTCTTTGGAGGAAACCAAAATCATCTCCATTTAAGGACACACAGCAGCTGCTGCAATACATTTCAGTTACCCATAAGAAACAGGCTGAGTTCACCCTGCTTAAGTATTTAAAAATTAAATATTAACAAACAGCTCTCCCAAAATTACAGAAGAGACTTAAAAATCAGACTTTGCAGGTCTGGTGATTTAAGTAAATCTAATATATAAACAAAAATCAGAATAAAACAGGAATGATGCCTGGCTTTTCAAAAGAATTCTTTTCCTACTTCTACCTTAAGATAAACTGTTCCAGGAAGTTCAAAATGTCATCCCATTTACTAAAATTTCATTTATACAGTAATTTTCAGGAAAACTGCTGTATTAAATGAGGCACTTCCTTTTATAAATACTACACAAAAATTTCCAACCTGCACACCTATTGTCAGCAAAGTATCATTAACTAGGAAGCCAGTGATTAGGAATTTGTGATTATTTCTCTTTTGCTAGAATGTTACGCTTGATTCTGTGTCAACTTATTAAAATTTTAGTAATATTTTATGGTAATTTAATGCAGCTATTTATGGTAATTTAATGCAGCTATTATAAAATCCTAAATACTTCCATTTTAAAGTACAACTTTTCTTGTGGTGATATGCATCAGTTAAATATGAGAATCACTGCTTATATATTGTTAAAACCCTAACTGAAGGAAACACAAATGTATTAAATACATTTATTACTTCTTACTTTAGCCATCAGAAAAAGCTAATTTTTTAAAACCAAAAATTAGTTATTAGCCTGGCTTTCTGATACACATAAGTATGAGGAAACAATGTAAAAATAAAACAGAAAAAGGTATAAAATTTGTTTTCTGTGAAAATGTTTAATTATTGTCTTGTTAGAAGTTAACATTATGAAGCTGCAGAATTAAAACAACAGCAATTCAACAAAAGTTGTTTGGCTTAAGTCAGTATTGTTATTTTCACTCTATTAAAATTCTTATTAATGTAACTATTTTCATTCTTCAACATTATCACTCTCTGTATACAATCATTTCTAAGCCCAAAGCTGCATGAGTCTTTAAAAAGAGCTTTCTACACCCCAAACTTATTTTTTTCATTCATCTATCTCATACTTTTTAAAATTAAAAATAAGAAAATGAGGCACAAAATGTTAATGACCTTTCCACACCTAAAGTAAGACAAATGGCATTCTAAAAAGTTTGGCTGTGATAAGACTATGGCTAACCAATCATAACTTCAGAATTCCTGTGTGACATCATAAGACCTCCCTAAAACACTTTTTCTCCTCCACCTACTTCAATTGTTCCCATAAATCTGGTAACAGAGAAAACTTTCCAGCTAAACGCCGATAAGACTTCAAACTACTCACAATACTCTATATATTGGGATCATCACAACAGTCAAGGTAAGATAAAATAGATTTCATTGATTTTGGTAATACTTTCTGTAATTCAAACTTACTTAACTTTTAAAAAAGGAATGGCATATTGTAAATTTCAGTTCAAAGTTAGACAATAAGATGTCTGTTATGACAGAAAGCTTAATTTCTAAATAAATGCTTAATCATTCAGCGACAGAAAGAATAAGACAACCTTGAAATGATAAGGGTTATTCATCTTTGATCCTGATTATTGGTTTGTCATTTTAGTTTAACTTTCACTTTTATTTTGCTTTTTAAAAGTACTTTTCTGCCAATTAAAATATCGTTCAATTATGTTACTATATTTGGTGGTAGTGATGAGTTGATTTCTCCATGCAAAGACAATGGCTTCATTTTGTTGTTGTTACTCTGCTAAGAAACAGGATGGGAGAGGGCTATTTACATCTGGAATACTATGAATAGTACAACATGCACATTATTGGCGTGACTATTCCAATATTACCATTATGATTCCCTATAGGTAATAAACTGGCATTAAAATATATAATATAAACTATTTTAAAATGCTTTTGAAGACTTTTTTCTTTGCTATAAAGTCCAGTCAACTTTAACAAACACTGCTAAAAAAAATCCAAGCATTTAATAAATTGAGTTATTTATATTAAATTCAGTATTACAGCATCAATAATGAGTTTGGAAATTTTAAAACACTTGTCAAAAACACATGCAAAATTCTTACTAAAATTATAGAATAGTAATGCAGCACTTTAAAAACAGACATTACTTTGGAAGCAAAACATCCCTAAATATCTCATTTTATTGAATATGATAAAATGAGTGTTTATTCTGCCTATTAATGAATATGTCTTTTTCAAGTTACTATCTCCAAGTGTTCTTCAGTTTCCCTCCTGCATTTAGGAGGGGGATAAAGGAAAATGGGAAAAAAGTGAAAGAAATGCTCAGGAATAAAGATGCCACAATAAATTGTATAACTTCTGTTTGAATTCTACTCTACTCAAGATGTTATAATCCTCAATATAATATATAAAATGTGTCTTCATTCTTAAATCCCAGTCATGGCATAAAGAATAATACTTCAATTTTATTTCGTTATTCTTATATGTATGTCAAAATAAAATTTACCTCGAGAGTTCTAAGTTCCTATGACAAATGTTAACTCTACTGCTTTACACAGACAAGAACACTGTATATCCATAAGCAGCTTTCCTTAAAGCATGCAAAAACATTTCTAATTTTTGTCTACCACTGAGACACCCTACCTGCCTCTGAATATCATTATGTCCATAGCATGTTTTTCCTTTGATATTACACAGAAGTCACTCAGTGAAGGTGTTTTATATGCATATTTATTCATTTTTACTCAAATACCAAATTACATCCTCACATTTCAAATGAAATGTTTGTGAGTCTTTATAATATCAGAATGTCACATCACATATTGCTCCAAAAAACTGACAATTTCTAGAAAGAGCATAAATTCTGCTATTAAAGTTTTCCATAGTGTGTCCAGATTAACAGTGACTATTGTTCAAATTTCAAATATTATGCATCATTGCCAGACATTTATCCCAACTAGTTTATCTCTATCATAAGGTAAAATTTAAGTATGGTCTTTGTTTATAAAGCTATGTGGTTTAAAATTAAGTGCTAAAAAAGTGTCAGATGGAATAAAATGGAAGAAATGCGCAAGATGTTTAAATTACAAAAAACACTTGAAAGAGCTAGAGTACTTTGCTTTATTAAGAGACATCAGTTACATCACTGTCATTTCCTAAAACTCAACTTCCAAAAATTATTTTAATAGTATTTCAGTGAACATTAAGGAAAAAAATATTCCAGAAAAAATTGCATTTGGTTCATATTTGTACATATTGTTTCTTAATCTCAGTAATTAGAGAGAATATTTGTATAGTTAAAATAGTTACAAAGAAAGAATAAAATTTTTAACTTGTTAAATGTAATATTTAATTATATAAGATATATTAAAATTTTAAGTAAACATTAAATGTAAAGATTAGATCACCTTTCTAAGTAAGACTGTATATTTACCAATCCTAGAAATAAAGATTCAATTAAAACTTCCTTCTTTATTCTTGAACAATTTTCTAAATGCACTGGTGTATACAAACATTTCATTTGATCCTCTTAGTTCCCTATGTGTTTCACACTGCATCTCTAGTTTATAATTTAGTTAACAGATGTGAAAAGGTGAATTCTCAAGGTCACAGAGCCAGGAAATGGTGGAGCCTTGGCCAAGAGCCAAGATTTTCTAACTCTAAACCACATGCACATCCTATCCACAGATGAACGTGGCTTAAAAATAAATCATGACATTGAAAAAGCAAAATAAAAGTCCTCAAATACTATCAATGGTACTCTAAAAAGCAAAGTCAGAGGATATAAACTTATAATTTAAATCACTCTATTTCATTTAAAGTTTATTTGTGCATAAGGCATTATATCCTTAATAGCCTATATAATACTATCCTGATCATTTTCAAAGCCAGGGATGTAAGAAAATTATAGATGACCTTAGTTATTAAGTAATACACCCTGGAAGGCAAAACTCAAAATAGTTACACAGACTTTAAAAAACATTAACATAATCAAACTTAAGTTTCCTTTAACTTGTTCCATTGCTGAAATACTCATGCCTTTAATCTATTTAGTTTTGATAACCTAAAATCCAGGTTAACTTTTCAAAACTTTTCATACTTTGTCCCAGTTATATATTAAATCTTTAATTTTTCTTAATTTCATTTCTGACATCCTCACATTCTACCATTTAAAATATTCAACCCCATATATTTTGGGGTGCTTGAACAGAGGAATCTTGTTATTTATGCTACCGGAATCACTAGCCTTCATCAATGCTGTGAATTAACACAGTGCTGACCATACCAGCAAAGGAGTAAACCTTGAAGGTTAGAAATCCAGGAAATAATCCTTCTAAATAATAGTGTCCTAAGCCAGATAATATATAGTCTTCTTGAACATTTCTAGAAATAGTGCTCAGTGATCTTACCCTGCATAAATCTGACGCATTTATTACCAAATAGACATGAAAATGAGACCTGAGTGTACATCTCCACCCCAGTTTACTTGTAGTCAACTGAGGCCCTCTAGTGCTTTTTACAATGTACTCCACCTTCAGGTCTTTTAAAAAAATCCTCTCACATTAGTGGGCATATATTTAACTTGGCATTCATTTTTCCTTAAAAGTTCCCCTACACTACACCTCCCCACATAATCTTTTCTCAAAAGAAGAATCTAAATTCTCAAGTACTACAGGGTTAAAAATAATATTTTAATTGCAAATAAATTAATTTTAACAAAATAAATATAATGAAGACAAGCCTACAGACAAAACAGCAACAGCAAAGTGCCAATTTCAAAGAGAAAATCTCTCTGCACTGTTGTTCAATATAGTTTCCTCAAGGCACAACTTTAAAGCAATGGAAACATTTCATTACGAAGTTTTTTTTTAATCCTTACCCAAGGATATTTTTTCCACTGATTTTTAGAGTGTGAAGGGTGAGGGAGAGACAGAGAGAAACACCGATGTGAGAGAGACACATGGATTGGTTGCCTCCCGCCTGCCCCCGACCAGGGCCCGAAGCCTGCAACCAAGGTACGTGCCCTTGACCAGAATCGAACCCGGGACCCTTCAGTCTGCAGGCCAACACTATCCACTGAGCAAAACCGGCTAGGGCTATGGAGTCGTTTTAAGGTTTGAGAATAAACTGATTTTTATGCTTATACAATTCTTTTCATAACCAGGCAGAAGCAGCTTGAAGATTCTTTCAAACAGTCAGTGTGAACTAACAAAGCTCTGAAATGCTGCTGTCACATTTAACTTCAATTAGAACTTTCAAGTTTAGCATTAGGCAACCACAAAAGGAAAATAATTCTATCAAAATAACTTTTGGATGCTAACAGAATGATAAATCTAATGATGAACTGTCTTGATTTAATCAATAAATCAAAAATAGCTGCATACACAATCACTTCTAGATTATCTACAAGAATGACAGCAAATAGTAGGAAAAAAATAAAATACCAAAATAATACCAACACAGACAAATCCTGTAAGCTCAAATCTATACCGAATTCTAATCTTATGAACCAATTAAATGTGGGAAAAAATCAAAAAATATGTCAGACTTGAATTTACTAGCATAATATGCCCACATTTACTAAAAGAATAAATAAGCAGACAAAAATCAGAGGAAAGCATTCCACAAGATTTTTAAATCTCAGGAATTTATAATTCAGTAGAGGGAGCACCCCCAAAAACTGGTTCAGAAAGTTCTGCAAAGGACTGAAAGTACTTAAACTATAGGTGGGATGAATACTCAGCATATACATTAATTGCCTAACAATCCATAAAGCAGACCACGGAACGTTTTCAAAAGTGTACTGAGGTTCCTTTTGCACAAGATGCATCTGCTAATCCATAAGAAAATGACTCAGAAAGGACTCCTGCAGAAACTGATGCAGTACCTTCCACCCAAAATTTGCCTAATGTGGCACACATCTGTTGAAGGATTAGAGCTGCCTGTGGTGTGTCTTTTTCTTCCACCTCAAGAAAACAGAATACTATCCTGAACTTCATTGCATTTACTTCCCAAGTTCAACTTTTGAGCATAAAAAGGAAAAGTAAACAAGCAAAGGTTTATAAATCCTACAAAGAATAGTAAAGTTATTTCTCCCATCCCTCCAAAAATTGCAATAATTATAAATCCCACAGACTCACAAGATAACTCTGTGGGCACCTTTCTGCCTCTTTCATGTTACTCAAGAGACAGGGATCTGGCATTTCTACAACTGAACTCCTATCAAAGCATCTTTCATATTTTCAATATTCTAATTCTAGGTCGTCAGTAATTAATTAATTTTTAAAACGTCCTCACTCCTCTTGTTCCAAATACCTAACTTACACATATCGTCATCCTGTAAAATGGGGAGTGGGTAAGGGCTAATTTCTGTCTTCATGGCTGTTTAAGCCAGAAGCAATTTCAGAACATCCCAATACAATCTCTTTCTGGTTATCCTAAAAGAATGCTCTAGAAAATTCAGGTAAAATGAAAATAAAGTGAAACTGTTTTTCTAGGTTCTCCACCAAGTATTACTGTTAGAGTGTGGCTCTAAGAAGGGGGAGTTCTAAACTCAGAATGGTTATGACTGCAGAGAAAGAATGATAAGCCCCTGAAACCATGTTATTGTGATGTAGTAAAGGTCACAGACACCTCCAAAACAGGACTGTGCTGTTCCCACACACAGCTTTTCAATCTCAACATGAAACAGGAAGCCTCATCTGATATGAATGAATTTTGGCTTATTATCATCATATGAATTTTGGAAGTTCAGCAGAATAGGACTCAACACATTTCAGACTGTACCATTGTAAAATGAATTGGGTCCAATAAATTGAATGCATACAGCAAACACATCAGCATGTGAAGCAGAGTTGTTTTTTAGTTTTAGCATAAGATTATAAAGTGACTACAAATCATTTTAGAATTATAACATTTCTAAGTTTGACAAGAAACAACCCACTATCTTTATACTCAATTTGCTTCCAAGAACAAACTATCCTTTTTCAATAATAACTGGCTATTGAAAGATGAGATCATCTTTAAAGTATATCCCTTATACTTTCATCAGTAGAGAGCTCATCTCTTTAGGGCACACTACTTCGTATTTCACAAACACCAAATACCCATTTGTACAAAGCTAGTACAAGGTTAATGTTGTTAATCATTGACAACAACTTTTCAAAATTGTAATTATCTGATGTAAATGCTCTAAGCCTCACTTTCCTCATCTGTAATAGGAAAAGACTTGAGAAGTGTTTGGGGATTATACGTTCAACTATCAAATTGTTACTCTAATTGGTTAATCTGTCAATCACAGCACTATCTTTGATCATTATCAATTTTCCAAAAATACTAAAGGAAATCATAAAAATCCCTTATTCAACTTAATTGAGTTATTCAAATAGTACCAACTATGTACCAAGTGCCAGAATACAAGATAAACACGTGGCTCCTTTTATTCATGAACTAGAAGTCTAGTTGAGGAAACAAACATGTAAATCAAAATTGCAACACAGCCTGATAGCTATCCTGATATAGGTAACGCTAATGCCCTACTAAAAACTAGCAGAGCTGATAATCATTCTACCTTAATACAAGGTTTTATTAGGAAGCGATATTTAAACTGGGCCTTAAGTATCAACTGAAATGTGCCTGGCAAAGAATCCAAGTTGGGGGAGTGGGGGGAACATTCCAGGCAGAGCCAGAACAACATGTGCAAACGACAGAATCATAAAAGGGAATGAAGTATTTATGGAAAGGTGACATGTTTCATGTGACTGACACACCACTCACCAGTGTCATAATAGGGAATGACTCTTGTGTATACAATGCTTCGTGATGAACAACTGGCTACCTTCCTCCTTTTCCATGTTTTGTCTCAAAACAATTTTTAAATTCAGACCTTTTAAACAATTTAAGTCCTAAAACTACACTAAAATACAAGCTCAAATAGAAATTGCCAATCTAATTCTTATTTCTTTCTTAACTGTACTGTTAATATATCCTTATACATCCAACTATATAAAGCAATAAAGATAATCTTCCCCACAACTACCCAACAGTATAAAATCACTATATCTACTATAAGCAAATATAAGCAGAAACAACTTAAAAATGCATTTTCTTAAAGAATAAGAGAAACTCCTTTATTTCTATAGTATTTTACCTAAGAAACGGAAACAAAAATAATTAAATTAAATATATAACAAGTTTAAGCTGCCATTTTTTAAGTAGAGAGGGTTATAAATAAATTAAGTAACAGCCACTGGTGTTGGACAATTAAGAATTGGTAGAGGATGTATACTAGATTAACACAGGTTGTTACCACTCTTTAAGAGAATGAAGTTTGTGATATGTTGGCTATGGGATCACTACAGACCAACTCTATGAAGGAGGCCAGAGCCTCCAGCAATGAAAGTGGGTCTAGTATATAATTCCAATCATAATACAGCCAAGTTGAAGTACTGAAACTACAGAATCTAACTACTATATACCACAGGGTTTCCTTGTAAAAATGAATGCTAAGGTCTCACTGACCCATCTCTTCCTCTTTCCCACTCTCTCATTCTCCCTTCTGCTCTCTTCATCACTAGTCTCTACAGAAATGGAGCTAACACATTAAGTTGGGTTTTCCTCCGATATAGAGAGATGGGAGAAAATTAAATCTGGTAGCTGGAGTAAAGCAGTAACATCTTGACTAAAATGCTATTTCAACAAATGTCAACAGCTATAATCTCTAAGCAGTTAAATGGTTTTTTATTCCATAATTTTTCTTATTTCAAAATTTTTATAGAAGTATCCCGATTGACAACAAGATATCCTCAAATCTTAGTAGCTATTATCTTTCTACAGTGATGTATTGCTTTAGGTTTTATTTTGTTTTGTTAATTATCACAAATAATAAGGCAGCAACTAATTAATTAATCATGCAGAATAACTTGTGGAAGCTCTGAAAGAAAAGCAAATGGCACCCACTGCCTATAAGCACAGGTCATTCATAAACAGTTACCATCTGTGCTAGAAAGTGAGATAATGATGATTTTATTGCTAAGACTTCTGAGCCTGATAGTCTTCAGTACTTAGTATCAAAACTTGTTAAAATGTTACTTAAAATAGCATATTCTACAAAACTATCTATAATAATAAAAGCGTAATTTGCTAATTAGACCAGACATACTTTGTGGCGGGCGGGGCGAGACAGAGGCCCATGGCTGCCGCGGCGGTGGGGGCCGAGCCCCTTGCACAAATTTCGTGCATTGGGCCTCTAGTGAAATCAAAAAAGGAATGACAAATATTTGAATCTGTAGTACTGGTGAAACAATTCTCATTTAACTATTTTATTTTGGACTAGATTAACATCCGAAGAATAATTTATTGCATGCATTTCTTATGAGATTTGCTCTAGAGCTGTTAAGACACTAATGCTTACAACAATTATGCTCATAGAGAAATACAGTATTAATGAAACTATATGTAAGAACTTTATGCTCATAGAGAAATACAGTATTAATGAAACTATATGTAAGAACTTTTTGCCCAAGGCAATAGCCCAAAACAAGGTGCACCCTAAAACAAACTACATTTCTAGTCATTTTGAGAGGAGGAGGCAAGGAATAAAGTTATTACATTCCAAACACAAGACAAATAAGATATCATGGTGACCTTCACCAAAAAACCCAGAGAGACAGGACAGACAAGGAAACACCTGTGTGTGTACAAACACATGTACAGACTACAGAGATATAAGATGTGATAAATACAAATAATGTTGAGGAAGATGAATGCAAAATAGTGTTTTACCTGTTCAGAAACCAGGTTGCACATATGATCCTAATCCATTTACTCTTTCTACATTCCAGGCTACCTCACAGTGATCTCACATTTGGCTGCCCACTTTTTTCCTTTGTCTTGATCCTTTAAAACTTCAGACTTCCTTGCCTTCCGCGTCATGGAGAAAGTCCAATACCTCACTCGCTCTGCTATAAGAAGAGCTTCAACCATTGAAATGCCTCAACAAGCACGTCAAAATCTCCAGAACCTGTTCATCAACTTCTGTCTCATCTTAATATGCCTCTTGCTGATCTGCATCATCGTGATGCTTCTCTGAAGTGCTGCTGCCATGTCCAGTGCTGCAACCTGTCACCATCAGCTTAAGCCTGTCACCCACGGAGAGGGGAAAAGAGACCACTTCCCATGAAGAGGAAATTCTTCATGCAAAGACCAAGGTTCAGAAGAAATGATTAGCAAATGTATTCATCTGCTGGATCTTGTAACCATGAAAAGGGCTCGATTTTTCGAAATTAACTTTAAAATGACTATAAGTGTGCATAATGTAACTGTTGATTTCTGCAACAGAGCTTATAAGTTTCAATCCCAAATCTTTTCTGAGGATGAACTAGGAGTTTAGTTTTGAAACTGTACTGCTAACAAGTCACTTCATATATAAAGCATTAGCTTCACTGTTTGGGGTAAATATAATTTATATTTTACTGAAAAAGCCTCTTTGATGTTTATTAAGTATTTTTCAGGTCTTCACCAAGTATCAAAATAATCATTCAAATGACATGTCATTATTTTAAATAGCCCACTGATTCCTAATTTTATCTTCATTATTATTATACAAACATCTCTTTAGTAACTATCATAATCTCCATTCTAAAATAGAAATTGCATTCTTTTCTTATACTTACCTTAACATTGTCTGAAGTTCATGAGAATCAAGTAGGAAAAAGAAGACCATAAATAAAATTTCTCTTACCTATTTTTTAAAGAATTATAGAATGCTAGTACATGTAGATAACCATAAATCTATTTTCTCTAGGACATTATGATAAATAAAGGAGACGCGCTGGTTAATTTAACAGCTGACAGTGTGATTAGCCATAATTACTAATACACTAATAGAATAGAGTCTAACCTTAATTTATGACATGTAGTTGATTATCTGAGTTACAGTATATAACTTGCCATACTGTATCTTTGGAATCATGAAATCTTAAGACTTCATATTTTATAGGTTGTCTTCTATTCTATCCTCATACTCAATGTAGGCAAACAAAAGAAAAATGTAACATTTCAAGTATTGAAAAATAAAATTTTTTGAATTCTCTCTCCCAAATTAACTAATTATTTGATTATATTTTGAAATGAACTTTTTCTTATTATTGTTTATGACAGAATATAGCTACTTTCCTTAATCTACCAATCAGATGGTAAACACTTATACGGTAGGCCACTCTACTACACTAAATTATACGCCCCAGAATTATTTTCTTGCTGAATACATTTTCTATTTCCCCTCTGGTCATTTAAAATATCTTCCAACTACTCATAAAACAACAGAAGTAAAAATTAGTGATGAAAAATATATTCAACCAAAATTTGGTAATGAAGTTGAAAATGAAGTCTAAAATGGTTTACACATACTGTATCATCCAATAATTTTAACTTCAGTTCAAGACATATTACTAATATAGCAATTATTAAAGGAGTATAGAACATTTAATTTACTGTATGATTTGTTAAAATATAGTTACTAAAAGTATTTGAAAAGTTAACATTGACCTTGATTTGTAACACCAGTGCTGGCAGCGGAATAGTGATAGAGACATTATTTTTAAAATTTTTCTGAATTCCTGAGCAGTGCTGGAGATGGGAGGGGGTTCGCTGACAACTGAGGAACAGAGGGGAAATGGATCTCATACTGACAGGGGCATTTCTTGAGCAAAGCCTTATCTATGGGTTAGAGACCCCTAATATCAACTAGAACAGCGGTTCTCAACCTTCTGGCCTTTTAAATACAGTTCCTTATGTTGTGACCCAACCATAAAATTATTTTCGTTGCTACTTCATAACTGTAATGTTGCTACTGTTAAAATCGTAATGTAAATATCTGATATGCAGGATGGTCTTAGGCGACTCCTGTGAAAGGGTCCTTCGACCGCCAAAGGGGTTGAGAACCACTGAACTAGAAAGCTTATAAATAAGACACACATTCACCTCACTGGTGTAATTACCCATGCAAAAAGTAACCAAGTTCTATAATTAGCTGCATGATCTTATAAATAAGTGGAAAATTTGAAATAACAAGCTCTATTCCCTTCAATATATTGTTCATCACAACATCAACTTCAAACTATGAACTGTTCAGATATCAGGTTTTCCTTAATAAATTACAAGTAAAGATTTTTTTTGTTTTTCATTCTGCCTTTAATAGAAATTAAAACCTTATACTTGATGATTACAGAACACTGTAACTCAGGTATAAGGCAGAACAAAAACCCATTCTTTAAATGTAACTTATTTATTCTGTTTATCATGATGTATAATAAAGCAATGTATTTTTTAAAATGTAAATGCCAAATGCTCAAATACTTCCTACAGTAGAATAAATTCCAAACTTCACAGTTCTAAAAACTAATTACTTTTAAAATGTTGCCTTTATATTTTAGTTTACAATGTTTATTTAATGCAAATCACTATATTACAATGACCTTCTTGAACTCAGTGAAATCATTCTTTAATACACTCATGATTGATATGATGTCTTATCATAAAAAATCTAATATAAGCAGTTTTGATTTTGGGGTTGTTTTTGGTGACTATCCCCATATAAAATAAGATCAAGATTTTCTAGTACAGACACAAGAGGGCAGACCTACATAAAATAATGAATTTCCTTCTACCTAGAAATGACTTATACTTTGATTACTTTTCAGTCTTATGGCAAAGTGGAAAAATTATAAATTTTCAAAAAAACTGTGCTCTTCTAAGTAACAGCACACTTTAAAATGTCTAAAAATTATATTCTAATACTATATAGAAAAGTTGACAGATAAAAAAAATCTAGTATTACTAATTTTATTTATTAAAGCATGTGTACAAAATTCATTTATATGCTTTTTCACTAATGAATGTGTCCAATGGATACTGCTGTGTGTAGAAGTGCACATCCTCCATATCCAGCTCCTCCCCCCAAAAAGAAATGCAACAGGAACATGGAAAGACATACATTTTTCCAAAGAAGAAACAAGACTTTGTTTTCTCTTCTTGTAGGGTCAGACAGCTTTTGGGGAGGGAGGGGGGGGTGATATATAACAGAGGAAAGAATCAAAGACACTGGTGGGCATTTCACATGGAGGCCTATACGCCAACCAACCAAGAGCACAGAAGGGTTCTCTTCATTCACAAAGGAAAATGCCTCAGAGCACTGCCGCTGATTTGGTAGAAAACATGGGAATCAAGGAACACTATGCACGGAAGACTGTGAAGCTGACTCACTAATTATCCTGGACTGAGTCCCCAGAAGACCAAACTTCCATGTTACAATATTAATCATCTGAGGAAAATAGGAGGGGAAGGAGGCTGTGAGGATTAAATGAGATAAAATACTCCAAGAGCTTCAAAGTTCCATATAAACCTATCATGGTGTTAGATCATGACTCGCCAGATTCCTTTTCTTGGTTTTAAATTTTTTTTTCATTGTGAGAGTTTTGTAGCTGTGCTTAAAAATCATACACATTCTCACATGAAAGAATAAGCTGATCCTTATTGTAGCTGTGCCCTCCATGTAAAAATTAGACTAAACAGAAGTCAATGTTTTAAAGAATCTTTTTAAAAACAACTACGATAAGAGCTTTTAAAATAATAAAGATAGCACTGGACACTCCAAGGAGAAAGTTATTTAAGAATTTTTTTCCTGACCCTAGCCAGTTTGGCTCAGTGGATAGAGCATCAGCCTGTGGACTGAAGGGTCCCAGGTTCAATTCTGGTCAAGGACTCATCTGAACTAGGGGGCGTACAGGAGGCAGCCAATCAATGATTCTCACTCATCATTGATGTTTCTATCTCTCTCTCCCTCTCCCTTCCTCTCTGAAATCAATAAAAATACATTTTTTTAAAGAATGTTTTTCTGTAATAGTCCAAGAAGGGAATTAGACAAGAAGTGATCATTTAAACATTGCAATTGAAGTGTCTGAGTTTTCTTTACCTAGTTTCATCTTCCTACTCCAAAACTTTAAAGCACTATAGAGATCATCCCAAATAGGGTTAATAAAAAAGTAGAACTTTCCAGGGTGCGTGCAAATTTTGCCCCTTAATAGCTTTCTTCCTCTACCATGTGCTGGGAAGATTTAAAAATAAGTTTTGCTCCACAATACACCTTCAAGATGCTGCACTGTTAGGTTGGGGAAAACTTTGTTTAAGGCAGAGATTCATTCATCTAAGCAGAATGAAAGGAGTGAATTAATACTTAACCTTTAAACCAATTTTCTCAGTTACCTTTCTATTGCCCCCACTTCAGGCTGGAGTGGAATACTCAGCCTCTCTGGACAACTACAATTCTGTGCAAAGACCAACTGGAGAAATGACTTCCTGATCCCTGTTCTCCTATAACAATCATTTGAGAACTAAAATATAGTATGTTTAAAATTAGGTTTCAGTCACTTGAATTGATAAATCACAAATAAATCTGGTTAAATTGCTCTTTTCTGACTTGTAATTCAGATATCACAATGATGCTTCTGTCTAATTATGTGCTTTAAATATACATAATCAAGATTTTAAGAACTAGGGTTCAACCCAATAGTAAAGGCGGCACGTGGGATGTGTTAAGGGTTCTCCGGTGAATGCAGCACGTTAAGGTATGTATGTTTGGGGTTGTATTCAGATTTGTGAGGTTCCTAGGTAAGTGATCTCCTTTTTCTTTCATAGAATATATTCTTTTAATCTTTAACATTTTTATTAGTACCAGGAATAAATAATAATTTTTAAAAATTGCTCTAGGGAAATTTTGCAGTTTTGTTAGAATTAATTTGTTTATATGAATAGGTGCTCAATATCACTAATCATCATGGAAATGCAAATCAAAACCACAATGAGGTATCACCTCACACCTTCAGGATGGCTATTATAAAAAAGACAAGAGATTAAGTGTTAACAAGAATGTAGAGACAGAAAAACCCTCTGCACTGCTGGTGAGCATGTAAATTGGTGCACTCACAATGGAAAACAGTATGGAGGTTCCTCAAAAAATTAAAAATAGAACTACCATATGATCCAGCAATTTCCCTTCTGGGGACTTATCCAAAGGGGGGGGCACTAATCTGAAAAGATATGTACATGCCCATTTTCAATGAAGCGTTATTTACAATAGCTAAAAGATGGAGGCAACCTAAAAGTCCATCAGTGGATGAATAGCTCAAGAAAATGTGGTACATACAGGGTGGGGCAAAAGTAGGTTACAGCTGTGAGTATGCGAAACATAGTTTATTCTTGTATTATTTACTAATTTTTATATTATTTTTCATACAAACAATTATAAACCTACTTTTGCCCTGCCCTATACACAATATAATATTTTTCAGCCATAACAAAGAATAAAACCTTGCCATCTGTGACAGCATGGTTGAATCTTAGAGGGCATTATGCTCAATGAAATATGTCAGACAAAGACAAATACCATATGATCTCACTTATATGTAGAATCTAAAAAAAAAAAAGAAGAACTCATGGATACAGAGAATAGATTGGAGGTGGTTCCCAGAGGCGAGGGGCTAGAGGCCCATATTATAAGTTTGAAAGCTGCTAAGAGTGTAAATCTTAAAAGTTCTCATCACAGGAAAACATCATTTGTAACTATATATGCTGACAGATGTAAACTAAACTACACTTACTGTGGTGATGATTTTGCAATATATAAATATATAAAATCCTTATGCTGTACACCTGAAACTGATATGTCAATTATATCTCAATTAAAAGAAAGAAAGAAAAACTGAGGCCCAGGGATATTAAATCATCTAGGTTCTGAATTTGCCAGAACAGAAACAAAATCCAAGACCTCATATTCCCGAAATTAATGTTCTGTGATAACAAGCCAGAGCCTGTGTTTCTGTTTCAAGTTTTTCTAGAATTGATGTTTTCTTTATTTTTATGTCCATTGCACAAATGAGAAGGAAAGTAAAGATCAAGATTTCATATAAATCAGCCTCAAATATTTTCTAAGTTTTGTCTATCAATGCAATCGTTTGGGCATTTACAGCATCTTAGCTTACTTTACTTTCAGGCAAAAGAAAAAGCAAAACAATCTAAGCCCATGGACACACTGCCAT